CTGTTGAGGCTGTGGGAGGGAGTGCGGGGCACCAGCAGCACTGGGAGAGGCTGTGGGGGGCCTTTAATTTTTATCATGGATTTTGGGTGGGTAGGGCAGCCATTGACGGGGTTGGGAGAGTGGGCGGGGGATGGGGCCTGTTTGATTCAGCAATTTGGCTGATTTGGTGGTGGCCGAATCTTTGAATCAGATACAGCTGAATCGATTCAGGAAAGTGATTTGAATCACTGTCCCCCGAATCAGCCGTATTCAAATCTGAAGTGAATACTAGCCGCTTCTCACAGACCTAATATCCATCTCATTTTCCTTTAAGGATGAAACCTCTCTTGAGAGGGTCAGCCTTTTGATGGATTTCAGGATAAATGTGTGCATTATAAAAGTCACTTTATGCCTATCTCTGTTTCCTTGCTATTCATTGGCAAAAGCAATAGGCTCATGTGCTTGTTTGTAATTTCTTCTTGGACTAACTACCAGGCTACTAGCCACTCAGGGTAATGTTTAAAGTAGCGGCAGTAGATGACTGTGTCTGGAAGGGAAAATTTCCTGCAAATAATCCAGAATGACAGGTCTGATGATTACCACTGGTTAGATTCTGATCATTTTTATGCTGTCTTTTTCATTCATGGCTGGGGAACTGCCTTTTTTATAATAGATATACAGCTAGTGCAAGCATCCTCAAAGGAGATCCTAAATTGGTAAGCTGTTATTGCTCATATTCAGGAGTATACCTCTACTACGTTTCTGAATCATTTCTTTTGCCATCTTAAAAGTTTCTGCTCATTCTGTGTCTCTGTTAGCTTGGTGGGACAGCATATTCTTTGTAAAGCTTGAAAGACAAGTTTCAAAGGTGGAGACCTGAAGCTTAAAACTATAGTCAGACACCTGAATAAAAAAAGTGTTGATTTTTTTTTCTCCAGAAGTGTAGAAAACTGAAAACTTCCATTAAACAAAACAGGAGTTGTGACACACACACACCACCATTAACAATTAGGCCAGTTTTATCCAGAGCCCTCAAGATTAACTTGAAAAGCAAATAATTTAGCATCCAACCTGGACAATTTTGGCCTTTAGAGTCTCTTCTGTCAGAAAAGAAAATTACCATTTTCCTCTTTTCTCCGTAGTTCAACAATGCAGTTCTATCCAAAGATCTCTGTTGATTTCTATTGCATACTCAGCATTCATTTTGTATTGAATTCCTACTAACATCTGTATTTCTTCCATTTATGTAAAGAATGTATATAGTGCCTAGCACCAGTGAATCCAAGTGCTTTTAAAAGGGGGGGATTTCTTGGTAGTCCTACAGCTCTCAGGGTCCTCAAGCATGAAACAGTCACGTTCTGGAAGCTGTCTCTGATTCTATCATGATCCTTTTTGCACTTATACTATTTTGTCCCTCCCAACGGTTTTGATATGCCCAAATGCTTATTTTTTCCACAAGTCAGGGGGTAGAGACATCTTTTCTTCATGCACAAAACATGCTTACGTCACCTGCATAGAAATGGTTACTTACATGAATCTAACGGTGCACAGAATCTGAAGGGATTCCATTTGTGAAAGACATGCCCAGTACTCCGCATAGTTCTTAAATTGTTAATGCTAATTTCCTTTCATTAGAAAAATAGGGAAATTTCCTGTTTGATAGATCCTATCCATTTTCAGGATTTTTAATGAAGTTTTTTGAATGGATTTGAAATTCATAAAGATCTTTTGGCCTACTTTTTATCTAAGCACTCACACTATCAGTTATGTTGGCTCATTGGTAAACAGCAGCTTCAAGGGGGAAGTCATTTTTTTTTGTTTTGTTTCTATGGATACACTAGACAAACTTCTTTAATTTCCTCAGTAATAATGTGGAAATTTAAAAGCAAAGACTTTGCAATCCAAAGGATTCTTGAACATGAGAACAAATATAACAGTGGAACCCAACCCATTTGACAATGTTCCTTTCAGTCATTTTTCAAATGCAACAAATGCTTTCTCTCTCCAGTGAAGTATAATACACCATACCTGTCTTCTTACCTAGCAGCGTGGTCGATGGAACAGTGTCTGATGATACTTTGAGATGGAATTTCGTTCACCCACACGACACGGATCAATGGAAATCAACAGAAGATCAATAGGAAAAAAAATTACAAAAAAAATGAAAACAAGGTTAGCTGTAACCAACATTCAAATGACTCAGTCCACATGTCATACTGGGAAATGTACAGAAGCAGAAAAATAAAATAAAAAGAAAGAAAAATCTGGCACTAGTACCTGAGTAGTAGGAATTCAACAAAGATTTGCTCTGAAGGGTTTTGCTTTGGACAGAAAATGAACAAGGAGAGGATGATGCTAGGTAGGAAAGACATAAGGAAAAGACTTTAGACATATATATAGTGTGAGAAAGAACAGGGAGAAAGTTTCTAAAAGAACACGGTTATATGGAATATATAGTGCATACCAAAATGAAAACCATTTTTCATCTGAACATGCATATTAAATTATGTTACTATTATTCAGTATTTGCTTTAATAAAAAAAATCTCCAGGTCCCAAAACACTGCATTATTGCTACTGTGAGATATATTTGGGATAGGCAGACACCCCCCATCTCGTGCCCCCTTCTTTTTAATTAGATATTATGTTTAGTCTTACACAGGAGACAAACTTGTATTTTTCTCTCTCAGAAAGATAAGTGCCTAAAAACAATGCACCAAAATACAAACCATATGAAACAGAGTGGAGTAATAACAGTAAAATAAACTTACTCAAATGCAGAACACATTCACACTCAAACCTAGAAACAGCAGTAGCATGTGAAGGCCAGCTTTTTTGCAGGGGCATTGAGGGGTGGTAGTTTTAACGGAGTACCTTTTGGAGAGAGGTATACCTTAAGTATGCTCCAAAGGCAGAATATGTCAGAAGCTGCTGCTCTATCCACAGGTCAAGTTTCTTATGTGGTCCTCAGCTTGGTAGCAAGAGAAGAACTTACCCTAAATGTGTGTCTTGTAAAGCATGCATTTTGGGACTGAGGATAGCTAGGCAGGGTGTAAACTGTGTCCTATTTGCCTACTGCAAATCTAATATTACACACACAGTGTCAATGCACGTTTATGGCTCTTTTAAAAATGGACAGTCTGGGTGGCATGCTGTCTTTTATTCCAATGCAGATAACAACTTAAAGGGGGCAGGCTGATTAGAAAGGACAAGCCAATCCTATCTCCTCCCACTCTATAGACTAATTTCCCTGGACAAGGACCGATAGATTATTTACTTTATAGTCAAAATGTATCAGACAAAGGGCCCGAATCAGCATCCATGTGGTAGATTCATGGTTTTTATGGAGCTACCTTATGTACTGAATGACTTGCACGTAACCATTATGGTAATCTACCATTTCTGAGGACATGTTCTTTCATAATCATTTTGCATTTGTTTCTAAACTGGCAATTTACTTACCACCTTCACAGCATGATGAGAAACAAACTAATACGAAAAGCTCAGTACATCAGAATGATAGCAATAGATAAAAAGAAGAAACTATTCCAGAATCCAATAAAAATTAGACAAAATTCAATTTAGATAAAAGCAATTTCAGAAGCAACTGCTCTACTTCTAGGAGTAAGCATTACTTACCAAGTTAAAATTATTCTACGGAATGAGGAAAAGCATTCACTACTTTAGAGAGTTTCCCTGGAATGCCATAAAGTCAGCAGAACTGCTCTCTAAGGAATTTACAGCACCCAATAAATGCACGTAGATCTCTTCCATTATAACACTTTTCTTTTGCCATGTTTTCATTCCCGTCTTTAGCTTACAGAATACAGTTGAAATTACAAAAAGTTAACATCAGCTGTCTCACAAACAGGTCTGCTTGATTTCTCTCTCAGCTGCCTTTAACACAGGATGCATCTCCTATTTTGAGGGGGTCCCCTTGCCTTGTTCATGGCCATGCCTTGTAGTGGCATCCACTTCTAGAGGTGGGTAACCTGAAGTGAACAAGGTTACTTGATCAAGGTCATACAGCAAGTTAGAAGCAGAGCTCTGCTTTCCTGGGACCCAGTATTTTAAATATAACCACTGGCTTACAGTGCCTTTGAATAAGGTCTTTATATAAAGTAATAATGCATCAGCAAGTAGGTGTTCTACAAATACTTCAAGCAATTTAATAAAAATATTGCTCATTCATCTCTATTGTAGTGGAATGGACTAGAGATGTAAGAAAGGGAAGTGAATATCAAAATATTTGTTTGGCAGAAAAACCAGTAGGCCAGATTTTCAAAGATCTCTCCATACAGAATAACAGTAGAAAACACCTGTGCATTTGTATAAATTGGTCAGATAGGTACTTGCATGACCAGAAAACTGTGTGCGCAATTACCCATTTAGAAGGAAAGTGTTTTACAAGAACAGTGAATATATACATACTGGCATGAGGCCAAGGCAGAGCAAATTTCAGTCCAGTGTAGCATGCCAGAACAAAGTTCATGAACATCTTAAGTATTGCTGTATGTCATCTCTGGGCTGCTGAATCCCTGTACAGAGGCCGTTATCACTCTCACTGCACAGGTATTTAAAATCTTGGCCAAAGGTGACATAAGACTTTCCAGAACAGTGAGGAAAAAAATTAAAAGAGAGCTGATATTATGCTTTCTTCAAACCTGGCAGTGCCCTTTCACTCTGGGTTTTCTTCTACCTCCTCCCTGGCTTCAAGAACACTGAGCTTTATTATTATTTTATAATTTTTCACCTAAAAAGATCTTGTGATGAAGAGCCAAAAAGTCCCAGTAATGAGTACCTCAGGGCATACATCCCATGGGAAGTGGAAACTATGCACACCATGAATAAGAATTAGCTCTTGAATTAACGATCTTGAGGTACCTATCTAGTCTGAATGATGACAAGTGCTAGTGCTCAGAGGAAGGAATATGTGAAGAGTGAATAGAGCATGGGCACAGTTTTGGTGAACTGTGGTCAGGGATGATCCTTCACCACTTGGACACTTACTTACCTGCTCCTCTCTAAGCATTCCTTTGCCAGCAGGTAGGGTAACCTGGCAAGTGCCCAGCCATGTTCCTCAGTGCAAACTGCCTGCTCTCTCCCTGCCCCATCCAGTTTTAAAGCCTCATGATTTAAATGAATGTGGTTCGCTTCCAAATTATTCTTAACAAATTGGCCTTCTCAAACCATCCACATCCTCTGAACAAAAGAGCTCCTGCCAAGCAGGAGTTGAAGGTGTCAAGCTAGCTACGCTGGTAATGTAGCATTCTCCTTTGGATCAGCTCTGCCAGGCCTGCATTATCTATGGCCCTTTGCGTGGTATTTCATCATCATGGTGTCAGGAAAGTGGTGCCTATGCGCAAGACACATCATTAGTGTATCATTGTTCAGATGATGTACTACTGCTTTTCCCCTCTATGGCCTGTCACACTGATGGGCTGCCAGACTACAGGAGATTTACTTGCAATAACAACCGTGTGTGCACCCTATCGGACACTTCACAGATGCTACTTGGATAATTTTAGCTCCAACCATGTCCATTCTTTGTCACTTCTTTTCAGTAATGCTCCCTCATTGAGCTGGTGCCTGTAGAAAGTTGTGCAGTGTCACATCATGGGAAATGTCATTGCCTTTCAAGAGCTTTTTCATAGCAAGGCAGAGTCTTAAATTATAATAACAGATGTCACCATTAGCACATAACTTTCCTTTTATATTTAGGTAATAAATAGAAGACAGACAATAGGGCAGTTGCACCTGTGCATAACAGCATACAACTAAAACAGGCAGAATAATGCAGTGGCATGTTGAACAAACAAGTTAATTCCATCAACTTGCCCAAGCAAAGCTCCTATTCACATCAATGGCAATTTTGCCTGAATAAAAGCTTTGTGAGGAAAAATGTGATTAAGGAACCAAAGATCTGACCTGATAATAATAGCTCATCTTCTGCTCCTCTTTCAACTACACTTCCAACCCAAGGCTTATTGCTCTTACTGAAATACAATTATTGATAATAAGGGAGTACAAACATCTGCATCCATGGGTGAAATGCAGTCCTGTGCCAATAGACAAATAGCCAATGTACTCCTGAAGCACTGTATGAGCTTTACATTTGCCTAGTGCACAGGGCTAAGATCCGTCTGAAGAATATAGATGCTTAAGAAAACACACTTGCCCCTGTGTGAAACCAGCATTTTAGAGAAGAGCTCATTTGTACAAATATTATACCAGAACTTTACAAATGTGTCCATCTAGGAGTACTGAGAATGGGAATGGGGAAATGTATATACTGGCAGGTAGCTGAAAGCAACAGAAGTTGGTTCGTCTTCATTGACTGAATCACATGAAATGATCTTGACTACACACTCAAATTCAAAACCAGCTACTACTTTGCTGCTGCATGAAATGCCAGGCTTACAAAGGCAAATACATCACAGTTAAGTCATGGCATTCCACTGGCTTTCTAGGTAAGGCCAAAAGAGTGTGGCAGCATAAATGTCATAGTAGAGATGTGGGGAGGCAGTGAGCCTGTTACCCACAGTCAAGTGCAGAATCAGTTTAATATTTGACATATTCAGTGGATTATTAGCTTGATCTTGCATAAGAATAGATTTAATCCTTTTTTAATGTTAATGAAAAGAAGATTCAGACTTAAAATGACAAATTCAAGGAAACTCAAACTGAAGAATGATACTTCAAGCCAAATTTAAAAGGAAGTACTTCTGGGCCACTTCCAGGTCTGCCACTGAGTGCAAAGGGAATGCCCCCTGCCCCCTGCATCCCCCCAGCTTGGCTATTGGCCACAGGGGAACCCCAGGTGTCCCCCTAGATCCAGAAGACACCAGTCACCAAGCTGGGGGCTGGGGATCCCCCGTGTGCTCCCCAGTGGACATGGAAGTGGACTGGAAGTGCTTCTGGTCCAATTCTGGGTCCGCTGTCAAGCGCAATGGGGATCGCCCCCCCGGGGCTGCTATGGGATGCTCCAGCTGCCCCAGCATCTTAGCATTCATGAGCCGCCTGGTACCTTGACGTATGTAGAAAAAATATTTAAAGCTGTGTCTATGTCTGAGTCATCGAATATTTCCAAATTGATTCGGAGTGTTCCGATTCGATTTGGAGAGATTAAAGGGTCTCCTGATTCAATTCAGATTTGGAGATTCAGCTGCTGAATTAGGCTGAATCTCTGCTGAATCAAATCAGTGACCAAAGCTTTGCACAGCCCTACTACCTACCATAAAATATATATAGCCTTTTTTTTTTTGGCAAAAAAAAGAAAAAACATGGGGGGGGAGGGAAGCAAGAGTGGACGTTTTAAATCTATATTCATTATGAGGAGGGCAGTGTAAATCCTTTTTGTGCTGTTTTAAAGTTACCATGATTTAAGTTAAGCATTTACAGGTGTCTCTATGTATTAGCTTTCATTAAGGAGATTTGTGAAAGGAGAATTATTATTCTTATCCATAACTTCACAGCCAAACCTATAAAATGTGAGCGGGGCATCCTAGTCTATAAAACACATCATATCTCTGATAGCTTCATGTATTGGATTTGGCAAAAAAAAAAAAAAGGGTAGAAATTATGTGCCCCTCACTGGTAATTATTTTTGATGGGTATAAAACATCCAGCTATGATTTACAGTGGCCTGCATCAGAAAAGTATTAGCTAAATCTTTAGTAGTGTCAGACAACTAGAGGACCAAGTTATAATAAGTGTAAGTGATAAAAATCCTTAGGAATGCTTTTTGCAAAATTAGTCACAGTATATTTTCCATAGCCATATCTTCAAGCAGATGATTCAGTTGTTTTAATTGCTCTTTCAAAATACCGAAAAGTGATAAGACCATATTACATGCTCATCCCACAGCACATTTTATTTCCTCACTGGAAATAGGCTTTAAGCTTCAAAACTGTGGAGGAAGCATTAAAAGAACTTTTAAGTATTTTGTACTTTTTATGCCATCTATCTTAGGTATTCTTAAAATGCCTATAACCATATTATTTCTCTATTTGCCTGATTTTTCAAAGGTATTTGCTGCAATTGACTTGAATGTGAAATGCAAAACTGTATACCTTTGAAAAATCAGGACCTAAATACACTCAAGGCCTGCATCCAAATGAGCACGGATGTTTGGTTCCCCAGAGACAAGAAGCAGCAGTACACTAGCAGCCTCGGCAGCCTTACCTGGGGTCCTGGGGGCCAGGAAAACTGCAGCTACAGCGCTCCTGCAGCTTGAAGCCCAGCCAGCAGCCTGAGCATGGCTTCGGTGAGCCATGCTTCAGTTTTGGGTGATGCTCACTATGGCCATGTGCGCAGCCCCTCTTTTTCTCCGCACAGGTTTTTTGACCTCGGGATCTCCCAGAGTCAAAACCCTGCCCCTGTGCTGGGAAATGCTTGAATGTGTGGTACATAGCACTGCAGATGAGTCTGCGGCACCACGTACCACATGGTTGTGCTCGTCCGGATGCAGCCAAGCGGATTTAGTATGGGAGAGAACTTTTGCAGTGCTAAACCTTGATGTCCAAATTCTTCTGTTTATCCCTCCCACAGGTATGTTTCTATGCAGGCAGATGGGAATTGACAGGAATGGTCTGCAGATGTGGGTGAAGCTACAGCTCAGCCTGTTCAATCTGAGATTGCAAAGAAGGGCTTCAGTCACCGAGACATGTTTTGTAACATGGACACCCATCACCAAAGACTTAGAGACCATTAAAGATTTTACAAAGATTACTAAGGAGTTATTGGACAGTTTTAGAAAGCACTTGGGCCTCAAACCTAAGCACAATTCGAACTGAAGGCAAAAGGCTTTGAATGAAATTCATGGCAAACGTAACTCAAAAACGTATTTAACATAAAGACATTTCAGTTCCAGTGTGAGATTCAGCAGCAACTGTTGCTGTTGATAAGTATTTCCTCATAATACATCACTGAAGAGCTCAGCATCTTTTATAAAAAAATAGCTAAAATGAGTTAACAGACACAAGGGTGAAAAACCTAGGCTTCCTTTGTCCCAATTTAGCCTTGTAACCACAAAACCACCCTTTTTTTTCCATAACAGCTGAGCGCACCATAAATTCTTTCACTCACAGAAGTCCGCTTGGAGATTGGACCTATTGATCATACGGTATAATTATATAACTCTACCTTATAATAAATTATTTCAAATAGATTTAGACTTGGACAGAATCCTCTGAATCTGTCCAATGACTGACTTGGGGCACTCGCAGGGAAATTGCAGACTTCATACTCTCTTAGCTTCCCTGCAATTAACTGCAGTAGTTTTATAATTAATGCTTAAATGTTGTGCCCATGGGAATGAATCCTTTTAAGTACCTGAAGATCTTGAAAAGGGAGGTATCCATTGCAAGCAAGTGAAACTTACTGAATCCATTAACATCTTGGCAGCTGGCTGAAAATGCTTCTTCATTGTGGACTGCGCTGAGTTTGGTGGAGGTCTTATCTGAAGTAGCAACAGGGCCCATCTCTCTCTGGGTGCTGCTCTGAGTCTCTTTCTGCTTCTTGGCTAGTTTCCTTTAGGATGTTTTGAAGAGAAGAAAAAGAAAACAGTCAGTTTTTTCCATTAACAGTAAAACAAATGGAAAAAAAAGCTCGGGGGCTAATGGCAAGACAGGGAAATTTTAATTTTAAAATACCTATAAGGAGATTGATAAATATGGTAATATAAGGTCATGTAGCATGTTCTGATAATAAACATTACTGATGCAGAGAGGTCTTCCACCTTCAAACCCACCTTATCCCAGCAATGGGGTGCCAAGAAAATAAAGGGTATTATAATAAGAAATTCAGAACCAGTGTCATACAGCAAGAATCACAAGCACCAGCTGCTTCAGTAAAATCCTGCTAAGAAAAGGAGGCTGTTGGAATCCATGAATTCATGTTAGGTGGGCACCTAAACCAACCCAGTCTGGAATTTCTCTATTAATATCTCCAATGAATAGCCTGACCTACCATGGGTTTGACACTAGTGTCTAATGGGCAGAGGAGGAATTTTTTGTAGAACAGTGAGGAGAGGAACCTATACCAAACCTGGATGCTCACCAGAAGTAGGTTCAGGACAAATAAATCGTACAAGATTGTGATGGTAATTTTAAAACAGCTTCAACCTCTGACCTGTTTCCATCAATATCTATGCTCCACTGGTGTCTATCTTTCCTGACTTCAAAGAGATGACAAAACCACTAGCGCAGGTAGTGCCAGCTCTGAATGCTTAGTGACAAAGCTGTGAACATGAGACCCCACTTTGCTCCCACAGCTGACAATAAGAAAAATGAAGAGAAAGAAGGAAAAGTGGAAAGTAAGCTACTAAACCTCCATTGACATTTGTCTGTTCTATGCTTCATTCATATCAGAGAGCAAAACTGTTTAAAAATGAATGCATGACATTCTACAACTAGCATCTTGAACAGATACAGTACAAGTAGCTAGCACCAGCAAAGAATTTTGCTAACATGGTTTCCATAGGTTAGAAAAACAAAAAGAAACAAAAAAAGAAGAGAGAAAGAAAGTAGTAAGTAGGAGTTTAGGTTCCTTCTTTTTCCCTCTAGAAAAGAAATCCTAATAACTAGATCATTATGTGAAAGAGAGTTTTCCTTCACAATACTGATCTGTTTAGGAACATGCATTTGATTCTTAGAAGGACAAACCATATCTACTGGTACTCATTTCAATTAGCTTTGTTTACTTTTTAGCAAATAATATGAGGGTTGCATTTACCAGGGAAGATCACTTGATAATTAAGATTTCTGCATGAGAGTTATGATGTTTAGGTCAGCTAAATTTTTGCAGGAAGAGACTGGAGTGATACAAAAGCCTGTACCTACATCTTTGTGAAACATCACCTCTATCAAAACAATGTAGTCCATCCCAGGGAACTGCACTTGTGGAGGAAACCTTTACTAAACTCCATTTTATGCTTGCCCCTGGATATTCAGATATTTTCACCTGTTGTAGAAATGTAACAACTAAGCCACTAACCAATGGCTTTGAATTACATGGGTTAAATTTAAGTTGTCATTAATTTCCACCTTTCAATAAAATAAAGTAAGTATGAGATATTTACTTTTTTATATTCCTTGACCACCTTTTGATCTCTTATTTCAGACAAATAGGGTGCTTATTGGACTACTGAAGAAAGCTATACTTGATTACTAGGCCTGTGTGAAGCAGCTAGTATTTGCTTCAGATTCGGCTGATTCGGGGGACAGTGATTTGATACAATAATTCGAATCACTGTCCCCAGCTGATGTGGCCAAATCTGATTTGGAGATTCGGCTGCTGCTGAATCTCCAAATCTCTGAATCAGCCAGGTCCATCCCCACCAGCATCCAGCTCTTTGGAGGAAAAAAAAGCTCTGGCCCACTGGATGCTGCTGGTGGGGGGGGGGCATCCCTGCTGCCTGCCACTGCTCCGCACTGCACTGGAGACTCTGCATGAGCCCCCAAACCCCACTCTCACTCCCCCAGCCCCCCACAGGTGCCCCGCCTGGACCAGCTCTGTCCCTTTAAGAAAAAAAAACAACCACAGTCACCACTCCTGCTGGTGGGGGAGCAATCCCCACTGCCGCCCACGGCCCTGTACCACGTGGGGGGCTTTGCATGAGCCCCACAAGCCCGGAGGCTGCTGCAGGAGTGGTGAGTGCCAGGGTTTATTTCCATTTTTTTTTTTTCTTAAAGGCCCGGACCTGGCCTGGGAGGGTCACCCATGGGGGGAGTTGGGGGAACAGGGGAGGAGTCAGGGAGCTCATGCAGAGCCCCCCCATGCAGCATGGGAGAGTGGGGGGCAGTACTTGGTGAGCACTGGGGCTTTTCTTTAAAGGGCCGGAAGCTAGGGTGGGTGGGGCAGCCATGGGGTGAGGCTGGGTGAGCCGGCGGGGATCAAGGAGGCTGGCAGGGGTCCCTCCGTGATCCCTACCCTCCTCCCCCAGCCCACCTCACACCCGCCTCTAGTATTAACTAGCTCAGAGTCAGCCGCAGCTCCCTGCTGCAGCCACCAGGGACTGCCCAAATCAAAGCTCTCCAAAGATTCAGAGAGCTTTGAATCGATTCAGACCTTTTAATTGGTCTCCCAATTCAATTCAGATTTGGAGATTTGGCCACCAAATCAGGCCAAAACTCCTTTGAATCAAATTACCACCCGAAGCTTCACACAGCCCTACTGATTGCCATTTTTGATGCTTAAAATGGTGAGCTAATGAGGGTAAGAATTTATTAAATCCAGATTGAATTCTCTCTAGCAATATTTGCCTTCAAATCCCATTGCTTAATGTCATTTGAAATATACTGGTAAAATCCAAACTCATTTCCTTTTGAGAACTCATGGAAGTCCTATGAAAGAAATTCTATGCTGTCTTGTAAGACACAAAGGGGACTCTATTGCCTGGACTATTCAAAAGGAAAAGTAATCCAAAGTTAGCATTCTTGATTTAAGACATTTCACAGAAGCATCACAAGCAAATTGGCAGCCCCAACTTACAAGTGGCCCAAAGGTGGACTAACTCAAGGTCTTTAATACTTGGGGTACAGGTATATTGGAAGAGATGCACAGGGAAGCTGTACAGCATCTGGTAATTCTGGGCATGACTTATCAAATGTTTTTTAAGAACAAAGCAATCAGGGCTGTGTGAAGCTTTGGTAGCTGATTTGATGCAGAGAAAATTCAGTCCAATTCGGTGGCCAAATCTCCAAATCCAACTGAACCAGGAGACCAATTAAAAGGTCCAAATTGAATCTGAAGCCTCTGAATAGATTTGGAAAAGATGTGGTGCTGCTTCAGAGATTCAGCCATAAACTAAATAGGCAGCAGTCCTCGCCATGCGGACACAGCTGCCTCCAGCTGGTAAGTCTGTTGTGGTGGAGACGGGAGGGAAGGAGCATGGGGGAGGGAGGGATTGGGACTGGGACAAGCTGCCCATCCAGGGCAGGGGGTTGCAGGACTTGGGGAACGGGGTGGGAGGGATGCACAGGATGCAGGCGCAGCAGCACTGGGAGCAGACACTATGCTCTGCCGCTCCTTGCCCAGCCAGGGCAGGGGGATGGGGAGAGATGCAGGTGCGGCTCGCTCTGGGCAGAAGGGAGCAAGTGGCAGCAGGGCACAGCCCCCGCTCCCAGCGCTGCTGCACCCACATCCCTTGCCCCCCCCCCCGGCTGGGCAAGTAGTGACAGTGCTCGCATCCTGCACTCCCCCACCCCAGCTGGGCAAGCAGCAGTAGTACCTCCATTTCACCCCCCCCCACACCCTGTCCTGGCTGGGCAAGCAGCAGGCTATGTCCTGCTGCCACTTGCCCAGTTAGGGTGGGGAGACATGGGGTGGGGGCGTAGCAGAGCTGGGAGAGGGGGAAATGCCCTGCTGCTGCTTGCCCCCTTCCACCCGGAGCAAGCCGTGCCTACATCGCATCCCCTCCCACCCCAGCTGGGCAAGTGGCAGCAGGGCATAGCTCCTGCTCCCAGTGCAGCCATACTCTCATCCCATGCCCTCTATCCCCCTACGTCCCATGCCCCCCTGCCCTGACTGGGCAGCTTGTCCCAGCCCCAGCCCCAATCCTCCCTCCCCCATGCCTTTTCACTCCCCCCTCTGCCCACCACAACATACTTACCAGCTGGAGGCAGCTGTGTCCAGCACGGTGAGGACTGCTGCCTGTTTAGTTTATGGCCGAATCTCCAAAGCGGTGCCAAATCTTTGGATCAGATTCAGCCAAATTGAATCGGGACAGTGATTTGAATCTCCAAATCGAATCACTGTCTCTCCGAATCAGCCAAATCTGAATCCAAAGTGAATACTTGCCACTTCACACAGGCCTAACAGCGATCACTACACAAATTAACAAGAGGGACACAGGCATCAGTTCTCCTTTATGGATTTGTCAGCCATGCTTTTTAATAGTATCAGAAGTATCAGGTTGCTGTCTTTTCTCCCACCTCAGTTGTCTGTCTGTTTAGAACAGCAGCTCAGAAAAAAGCCTATTTGGACCTCTCCTTCATTGCAATTTATAGAAAGGATTAAAAAAAAATCAAATGATTCTTGCAACAGTGTTAGGAATACCACTTAAACTCACAGCTAGGTAGAGATTTATTTGCCAGCATGTCAAAACATCTTTGGAATTGGAAAAGCATTTATCTGAAAAAGCTCTGTTTGCAAAAATAACGTACTTGAAGTGATCTCTCTGAATTACTGACAAACCATATCAGTGACATGGCTTCTGCTCTCCTTACTGACCAGCTTCCCATAAACACAACAACTGAAACATCCAGATGAAACTGCTATCAGTGCATTAGTGTCAATCACGGGAGGGCCACAGGCTGCCTAGAACTTGTAACCAGCATGAAACTGCACAGTTTGTCACCGGGCACTGAGAAGAAGCTTTCTAGCTCATGCATTATGCAGTTAGAAAGGGGAAGAAAAATAACTGGACAGATACTTGGAAGAAAAGTCAAGTACAAGCAACATGCGATGAAGTGATTGAAATGTCAAAATGTCAATAAGGAGGAATTAATGGCTGTTTTACTTTTAAGTCC